CTGAGTGATATTCCATTACACACACAACCCACATATTCTTTATCCATCAGTCAATGGACGTTTGGTCTCTTTCCATAATTTGGCTACTGTTGATAGTGCTTCTCTAAACACTGGGGATACTTGTGCCCCTTTGAATCAGCATTCCTGTATCATTTGGATAAACACCTAGTAGTGCAATTGGTCATAGGGTAGTTCTATTTTTAATTTTTTGAGAAACCTGGACACTGTTTTCCAGAGTGGCTGCACCAGTTTGCATTCCCATCAGCAGTGCAAAAGTGTTTCCCTTTCTTCATATCCTCACCAACATCTGTTGTTTACTAAGCTGTTAATTTTGGCCATTCTGACAGGTGTGAGGCAGTATCTCACTGTGGTTTTAATTTGTATTCCCCTGATAATGAATGGTGTTGAACATTTTTTCATGTGTCCTGTTAGCCATTTGTATGTCCTCTTTGGAGAAATATCTATTCATGTCTTCTGTCCATTTCCTCACTGGATTATTTATTTTTTGGGTGTTGAGTTTGATAAGTTCTTTATAGATTTTGGATACTAACCCTTTATCAGAGATATCATTTGCAAATAGCTTCTCACATTGCCTAGGTTGCCTTTTAGTTTTGTTATTTCCTTTACTGTGCTGAAGCTTTTTATCTTAAAGAGGTCCCAACAGTTAATTTTTGCTTTTGTTTCCATTGCCTCTGCCAACATATCTTGTAGGAAGTTGCTATAATCAAAGTAAAAGAGCTTGCTGCATGTTTTACTTTTAGGATTTTGATGGTTTCCTGTCTCACATTTAGGTCTCTTATCCATTTTGAATTTATTTTTTGTGTATGGTGTAAGAAAGTGGCCCAGTTTTCCCATCAGCATTTGTTGAAGAGACTTTTTTTCCCCCGACTGGATATTGTTTCCTGCTTTGTCAAAGATTAGTTGACCATATTGTGGGTCCATTTCTGGGTTTTCTATTCTGTTCCATTGGTCTTTGTGTCTGTTTTTGTGTCAGCACCATACTGTCTTGATATTAAAGCTTTGTAATACAGCTTGAAGTCTGGAATTGTGATGCTTCCTGCATTGCTTTTCTTTTTCAACATTTCTTTGGCTCTTTGGGGTCTTTTGCGGTTCCATACACATTTTAGAATTGTTCTAGCTCTGTGAAAAATGCTAGTGGTATTTTGATGGGGACTGCATAAATGTATAGATTGCTTTGAGTAGACATGTTAACAATATTTTCTTTTCCAATCCATGAGCATGGAATGTTGTTTCCATTTCTTTTTGTCTTTTTTGATTTCTTTCCTAAGTGTTCTATAGTTTTCAGAGTACAGATATTTTTTACTTCTTTAGTTAGATTTATTCCTAGGTATCGATGGTTTTTGGTGCAATTGTAAATGGGATTGATTCCTTGATTTTTCTTTCTGCTGTTTCATTATTGGTGTATGAAAATGTGAAACATTTCTTCCATACATCTATATCTAATCTCTTTTTTTTATATTTGTGTAATAGCCAACCCAACTCAGTACTCCTGTATATGCCAAAGAAAACACTTCCTTGTATTAGCACATTTAATCTTCATGTTAATCTTTTAGGTGGGAATAAAATCTCCATTTTTACAAATGGGGGATCTGAAGCACCCAAAGATACAGTCACATGTTTTGCACATCTGAGTCTACCCTATCAAATCCCTACCTATAATTTCACACCCTTGTTTCCTCAACCCTCAGTGAGATAGAGAATGATTGTTTCCCTGGAATGCTAGAATATTTACCCTAACAGAGTAATAAAGTTTCCATTGCAGTTTTTAAATGCCAGTGCAATTTCCTCTAGCTTTTATCCATCAAGTTTTCAAAAATTGTAAGGCCTGACTCTGGTCGCCTCCTAGCCATCCACCGGCTGGTTTGGCTTAGTTTTATCACTGATGGGACATGCTTGGTAAGACCTAGTATGACCCTCCTGAGGTGTGTTGGCAATTCCAGGTCAAGGCTATTTTGACTTTCTTTTTCAAGCAAATGGAGCTGCAGTGTCTCTCTGGTGAGTAGAAATGTGTATATATAGAACACGAGCTGTGAGAGATTTAGCAGCATGCAGATCATTCCAGAACCATAGGGTTCTTTGTTTAAGCTGGTAACAATCCAGTGATGCAGTCACTCCTACCATGTGAAAATGAACAATTACACCTGGGAGTAATAGTTCTTGAGCTTTTGCATTATCAATAGACTTGAATTTATTTGCTTAAAGATGGAAAACTATGGATGTCTCATTGTCTGGGTGGGAAGTATCATCCTCCCCAGAAATGCAGGTCATGTTCAGAGCTCAGTTGCCAGGCAGGTGTGGAGAGCTCATCGTGGAATCACCCTTTCTAGAAAGTACCAGTAACAAATCAAACACCCAGACAGAAAAAAGGCTCCTTGGGACAGAATTGTCTAAAAGGTACTGCTTTCTTCCAACATTTCTATAGCTTTTGTCTAGAATTTACAATCTCTTCTTGATTTTTTTTTTTTTTTTGAATTCTGGTTCATCTATAAAATGGAGCTCTCAGTTCTGCCACCAAGTGGCTAGCCCAGAATTTCATAGCATTCTTCTGCCATGTAGTTACCTACTCCAGGCGAAGAAACAAACTTTCATATGGAGGGCTGGATAACATTGCCCTTCCCTTCTCCCAGTAAAAAATGGGCTCTTGCAGCAATTCTCCATGGATGTGTCAGAACCAAAAAGTAGAGCAGGCCTCTCTCTCCTGGTACCTCACTTACCCCTAATCCTTACTGTCTCTTCTGCATCTCTACAGCCAGCTGGTCTCCTCAAAGGGCATTTCGGTTGGTACATTCTGTACTGTTGTTGTAACAAAATGGGTCACATTTTAGGGCTTTTAGCTTTTGCAGTCGTGACAGGGCAAAGACTGATGTGGTAGGTGTCGTGTTCAGCACTCCTTCCTACTTCCTCTCTACCTCTCCCAGGGAGGGGCATTCATCCTCCCCACTGATCTCTGTGCTTTCTTTTTTTTTTTTTTAATGTTTATTTCTGAGAGAGAAAGACAGCACGAGTAGGGGAGGGTCAGAGTGAGAGAGGGAAACAGAATCTGAAACAAGCTCCAGGCTCTGAGCTAGCTGTCAGCACAGAGCCCGACACGGGACTCGAACCCACAAACCGTGAGATCATGACCTGAGCCGAAGTTGGACGCTTAACCGACTGAGCCACCCAGGCGCCCCTCTGTGCTTTCTTTTATTAAGGACAAACTGGGTAGTGGTGGGAAGGAAAACAGAAGGAAAGCAGAGTTGGGGGAAGATAGACAAGCCCAATTGGGGCAAGAATTTGGTGGGTTTTGGAGCGAGACCAGTTGAGGGGCTTGAGAGAAGTAGGAGAAATAGGCTTTCTAGAAGTGTTGTGATGAGTTACAGATTTCAATTAACATTCTTCAAGAGACACAAAGATTGGAAGACATACTAACATTACTTTGGTTACCAGACTGTATTTCTTAGTGCTGCTTGGTACGCAAATCCAGTCACCTGGAACCAGAACATTTATTTGGATCTTAGTGTAGTTTGTTGAGGGATAAGCAGTCAGGTTCCATAGGGTGGACCCTGTGAGAGTAACACTACCTGTTTTTGGCACTTTCCAGTGTAAGTCCCCCTTCTTTACCCCAGGACCCACTTGGCTGCAATTCCTGAATTCTGACCTCTGGTGGGCTACAGACATATCCCAGTTTAGGGGTCCATGAAAATTGATCTTTCCATCAGAAAACCTCTGATTTTCTTTTAAAATCAGAAGAAAAAATGAATATAAATGAGGCTGGATTGTATTTTTGTACTAATGCCATTGTAAAATACAATTTTTCAATATTTATGGAGGAAAGATCTCATAAAGGCAAAGCCCTCAAAACAGCCTCTGTCCTGTACCACCTCCTGAGATCCCACAGCCTACTACAATCTCTTGGGGATGGTTAAATTCAGGGTTGAAATGTTTGCAGCTCTGACTGCCAACAGACCTAACCAAATCCTCCAGGTTTGCTTTTAATAAAATCTGTACAGTAGCTTGATCTTCATCTAACTCTTCTATGGCTGAATTGTTCTGCATCTGGGTGAACTCTTCAAACTCCAGCACATCAGCACAATCCTTTCACATTCCCAGCTGCTTATTTCAGTGGGTCATTCTTTTCACAAACTTCTATATGTTTCCAATATGTTATTATTGACACCTTTTCATTCGACTAAATATAATCCGAATAAAAGTTTTACTGCTTGAGGAACTCCACTTCAGATGGGATTCAAATATGATTTGGGAGCCACTCTGTAGCATACAGAGTACCTAGAGAGATATGAGACATCTAGGGCCTGACACAGGAAAGGACTCTTTGTATTTGTGGCTGTGCTCACCACAGTCTTGAATCTAATGGTCAGGTCAAATGCCTCCCAAATGGACTTCCCTTTTCCATTCTAGTCCCTCAAACCTGTGTTCCATACCACAACTGGAACGATCCATTAAAACACAAATCTGAATACATCAATGTGAATTGTGTGTGCCTAAAGCCCTGTATTTGGGGAAAAAACCAAGATGCTAATATGGCCCACATGGCCTGGGGATCTGGCCTTTCACCATGCAGATTCTCCATCCCACTGATGGCACTCCTTGCACAGGCATCCCAGCTTTTGGACCACACCCCTCGTTCTCCACCCCACAGCCTTCAAGCTTGTATTCCCCAGCACCATCAGCTGCTCTTCTTTCCTTATCCTTCAAGGAACGGCATTACTGTTGCTCTCTCAGAAATTTGTCTGACTCTCAAATCTACAAACCCTCAATATCTTCACTGGCCACTTTGTATTTCTTTGGAGCACTTATCCAAACCTGAGATGACATTTGTGTGATTACTTATTTAATGTCAGTCTCTCCCATTGGATCATAAACTCCATGTGGGCAGGGTCTATATTTATCTTGTTAATCATATGTCTCCAATGTCTAGCACCAAGCCTAGTTTGCTTACGAAGTTATAAAGATTTTTTTTTTAAATGAATGACTAAATCCATAGTATAATGAGATCTTTATAGTTAAGATTTTAGAATGGGTCTGCTATTGATTTCTTGTTCTTCCTTACTAAAGAACTAATGATAAATCCATGTAGTGTGGCTGAGAATAATCTGTATTTTTTCTGGACCCTCTTCTGGATGACATATATTGTTCTTGTCCTGCTATGAGTCCTATTCTACTTCAGGACTCCTGGTGTTCATCACAGTTCTTTGCTTTATGCTTTTGCACTCGCTCAAAGCACAGTCATGAAATCTCCTCTATTAGTGATTTCTACTGAAGTCTTGGAATCTCTCCAATTTGCTTTGTAGCTTTCTGGGTGTCTCTTTAACTTTCTAATGAAAAGGACTTCGTGATGCTGTGGTCTTATTTAACTTGAGCATCCTGTATCTGTGTTCTCTTTGGTAGCTTCATTCTCTCTGCAGGACTGCACTCCATGACTGCGGTTGTGAGGGCACCTGCATTCTGGAATAACAATAAGAGTTTTTACTGAGTGCTTAATATGTGTTAGGCACTGTTCTAAGTATTAACGCATTTTTAAAAATGTTATTTGTTTATTTATTTATTTATTTATTTATTTATTTCTAGGAGAGAGAGAGAGACAGCGTGAGCAGGGGAGGGTCAGAGAGAGAGGGAGTCACAGACTGAAACAGGCTCCAGGCTCTGAGCTGGCAGTCAGCACAGAGCCCGACGCGGGGCTCAAACCCACCAACCGCGAGATCATGACCTAAGTGAAAGTCGGACGCTTAACCGAGTAAGCCACCCAGGCGCCCCAAGTATTAACACATTTAATCCTCAGACAAAATTAATGAGGAAAGAACTATTATAATCCTCATTTACAGATCAGAAAAACCAAGACAAAAGAGTTTAACTAACTTGCCCAAGGACATACTCTAACAAATAATACAGCCAAAATTCAAACCTAGGCAGCTTGGCTCAAGAGTTCTGCTGGTCGCTACTAAATACCAGGCCTCCTTAGGGACTCATGATGGCTATGACATTTCTGGGTAGCTTCATTAATTAAACCCCTCAATGAAAGAAATAATTAGAGTGGCTCAGGGAATCCTTTTCTGCTATGACTATGGTACTGTAGGTAGACGGTAGGTAGATATGGAATTTTCTTCTGGCTTGGCAGTAACTGTTACCTCGGCCAGTCACTCTTTATCAAATGGGAGCAGCTGCTTTCTGTTCATCAAAAGGAACTGGCATAAATACATGGGCTGAAAATAAGGTAGATATTTAGAAGCTGATGTGCATATCATTTGGCACAGTACTGGTCATAATAGGAACTCAAAAATGACTCAAATGAAGAAAATAACACAAGTGGGATGGGCTCTTCAGTTCGAGTTCCTGGCTGATTTTCTGTGTTGAAGTCCATTTCTCCAATTTAACAGAAGATACGGAAATAATTAAATGCACCCAAGAAGCTAAAAGATCAAGGGATGATGCTGGAAAATGGTTATTGTCTAAAGTCTTAACACTTAAACCATCAGAACATATCAGGTAAGACATTTCTCGCTGGGCTTCCATGCACCACCAAGGAGCAGCTGGATTCTCTTGGAGGACTATCTTTCCTGGGCATCTCTTCCCATACACTCCCTCCCTATATCTTTCTGATATAGTCTCTTAACACTATCTTGCCTTATGTAGCCTACTCAACAATCCAAACCTACTGCCATGCCAGGAACTCTCAAACTTAGTCCTCTGCTTTGCCTTGGGCACTTTTATACCTCCTTTTTTTTTTTTTTTTTAATATATTTATTTATTTCTAGGAGAGAGAGAGAGAGACAGCGTGAGCAGGGGAGGGTCAGAGAGAGAGGGTGATACAGACTCTGAAACAGGCTCCAGGCTCCAAGCTGGCAGTCAGCACAGAGCCCGACGAGGGGCTCGAACCCACGAACCGCGAGATCATGACCTAAGCGAAAGTCGGACGCTTAACTGACTAAGCCACCCAGGCGCCCCTATACCTCCTCTTCTTGATGTGCCTTGTTTTATTTTCCTCTGCTCATTAATGCTATGTCTCATGCTTATCTTCCCCTGCCTCAATTTTGTTCCTAATTTCTTTTCTGCTCATTTCCCCTTTAGAACCATTTTTTATCACAATGCTATCAAAATGGAAATTAATGATACAAAATAAAGACATCTAGCCACAGATAAATTTTAAATTCTAAATATTTAGCTTCAAAGAGAGAATAAAAACAGAAAATACAGACTTATGACAATAAATGGCAACGAAAAGTTTATATATCTGTGAGATGCAACCACGACTACATTTAAGGGGGAAATTTCATAACATTAAATGTTTTTATTTTTAACTCAGAGTGATTAAAAATAAAAGAACTAAACTTTCAACTCAAGAAAGTAGAAAAATAAATCAAGAGAAAGTAGCCCTAGGTATAGAAAAATAACAAAAGCAGAAAAAAATATTTAGAAAAAGAGAAAAGAGTAGATAAAACCAAAACTTTTTCTGAAAAATCTAATAATTTTATTATCTAATAAGTATGTTAAAAAAGAGAAAATTCAAATAAACAAAATTAGTAATAAGAATTAGGATATAATTATTAGGTGGGCTGCCTGGGTGGCTCAGTCAGTTGAGTGTCCACTCTTGATTTCAGCTCAGCTCATGATCCTGGGGTCGTGGGACTGAGCCCCAAGCTGGGCTCTGTGCTGAGCATGGAGCCTGCTTGAGATTCTCTCTCCCTCTGTCCCTCTCCCCGCTCATACTCTCTCTCTCAAAAAAAAAATAACAACAAAAAACAACCCAGGATATACCCATTATGTTCAATTTTATGCCTATAAATTTGGATTGCTTGTACTACTAAAAATTTAGGGCAAATGCGCTTCATTGGAAAAATAGCTTGATATATCTAAATACCACAGAAAAGAATTTAGCCATTAAAAATAATGAAGAATTTGGGGCACCTGGGTGGCTCAGTGGTTGAGTGTTGGACACTTGATTTCAGCTCAGGCAATAATCCCAGAGCCTACTTAAGATTCAATCTCTCTTCCTCTCTCCACCCTGCCACTCCCCTGTGCTCTCTTTCTCTCAAATTAAAAAAAAAAATACATTGCTACAGACAGATTGTGAAGGGCTCTGGCCCAGGATTAACCCTGACAAGGGGGATTCCAGAGTCTTCTCTCCCTGTTCAACGTTTAACCTGCTTAATTTGGCCCCTTTGCCACTGATTTTCCTTGGTCTCCTTACAGTCTTAATGGCTCTTTCATCATCAAATCCAGCAAATCTTCCACTTGAAACTTATAACAACTCAGCAGTCAGTTTAAGAATGTTTATTTCTGAGGGGTATAAATGTGTATGTTCATAACATACAAGACACAGTACATGCCCTCAAGAAACTGACAGTTGCATCTAATGATTCAGTAAAAACAACAAAGCAAGATTTTATTAAGTACCTCAAAGCAAATTTGTAAGGTTGTTCTGAGGCTTCAGGTAGATAGAACATATGAAAATGCTTTGTAAACTGGAAAGTGGCATTCAAAAATTGATAATTGTTATATTCCTTGTTACAGTTGCAACAAAAACTCCTGACAACCTGCATTATATGTAAATTGTCTCCTTAATGTTAAACTCTTGCTTTGCCTGCCACCCTTTTCACCCTTCACAAAACCCACAAGACCTACCCCAGTGGTGAAAATAATGGATGCAAAAGGAGCAGCACCCCAAAAGAAAAAGGTGAAAGGGAATGAGAGGAAATTTAAAAAGGACTTATTGAGTGGGTACATGGCAATATCATTTTTTAAATTTATTTTTTAATAGTTTATTGTCAAGTTGGTTTCCATATAACATCCAGTCCTCATCCCAACAAGTGCCCTCCTTCATGCCCATCACCCTTTTCCCCCTCTCCTCTAACCCCATCAATCCTCAGTTTGTTCTCAGTATTTAAGAGTCTCTTATGGTTTGCCTCCTTCCCTCTCCCCGACTATTTTTTTCCCCTTCCTCTGCCCCATGGTCGTCTGTTAAGTTTCTCCTGTTCCACTTATAAGTGCAAATATATGATATCTGTCCTCTGCCTGACTTATTTCACTTAGCATAACACCCTTGAGTTCCATCCACATTGCTACACATGGCCAGATTTCATTCTTTCTCATTGCCATGTAGTATTCCATTGTATAAATAAACCACATCTTCTGGATCCATTCATCAGTTGATGGACATTTAGGCTCTTTCCATGATTTGGGTATTGTTGAAAGTGTTGCTATGAACATTGGGGTACATGTCACCCTATGCATCAGCACTCCTGTATCCCTTGGGTAAATTCCTAGCAGTGCTACTGCTGGGTCATAGAGGAGTTCTATTGTTAATTTTTGAGGAACCTCCATACTGTTTTCCAGAGAGGCTGCACCAGTTTACATTCCCACCTACAGTGTTGGAGGGTGCCTGTTCCTCTACATCCTCGCCAGCATCTAGTCTCCTGATTTGTTCATTTTAGCCACTCAGACTGGTGTGAGTTGGTATCTCAGTGTGGTTTTGATTTGTATTTCCCCGATGATGAGGGACACTGAGCATCATTTCATGCGTCTGTTGTCCATCCTCTTTGGAGAAGTGTCTGTTCATATCTTCTGCCCATTTCTTCACTGGATTATTAGTTTTTCGGGTGTGGAGTTTGGTTAGTTCCTTATAGATTATAGACTAGCCCTTTACCTGATGTCATTTGCAACTATCTTTTCCCATTCTATCGGTTGCCTATTAGTTTCATTTATCGATTCCTTTGCTGTGCAGAAGCTTTTTATCTTCTGTTGAGGTCCCAACAGTTCATTTTTGCTCTTGATTCCCTTGCCTTTGGAGATGCGTCGAGTAAAAAATTGCCGCAGTTGAGGTTAAGGAAGTTGTTTCTTGCTTTCTTCTCTGGGATTTTGATGGTTTCCTGTCTCACATTCAGGTCTTTTATCCATTTTGAGTTTATTTTTGTGCATCGTGTAAGCAAGTGCTCTAGTTTCATGCTTTTGCATGTTTCTGTCCAGTTCTCCCAGCACTATCTGTTAAAGAGTCTGTCTTTTTTCCATTGGATACTCTTTCCTGCTTTGTCAAAGATTAGTTGGCTGTATATTTGTGGGTCCGTTTATGGGTTCTCTATTCTATTCCATTGGTCTGTTTGTCTGTTTTTGTGCCAATACCATACTGTCCTGATGATTAAAGCTCTGTAGTAGAGGCTAAAGTCTGAGATTGTGACGCTTCCCACTTAGGTTTTCTTCTTCAATATTACTTTGGCTATTTGGGGTCTTTTGTGGTTCCATACAAATTTTAGGATTGTTTGTTCTAGCTTTGAGAAGAATGCTGTGCAATTTTGATTGGGATTACACTGAATGTGTAGATTTCTTTGGGCAGTAATGACATTTTAACAATATTTATTCTTCTGATCCATGAGCATGGAATGTTTTTCCATTTCTTTGTGTCTTCTTCAATTTCCTTCATAAGTTTTCTATAGTTCTCATCATGTAGATCTTTT